ACACAATTACACAACCAGGGGGGACAAATCTGCCATTATGGCTGGCCACTCCATGTCCCAGTCGAGTCGACCCCATTACCAATGCTTGTCGATGGTATCCAAACAGCACGGGATGACGCCGACACTATTAAAATAGACGTGGAACTACAGGAAATACGAGTCAGATGTGTCTTACATGTGCCTGAGCACATATCCTCTCCTGAGCTCTAGTGATAACCAACTGTGTCGTACACAAGGAGGGAGAGGGGAGGAGGAAGACAAGGAGGGAGAGGGGAGGAGGAAGACAAGGAGGGAAGGGGGAAAAGGAAGACAAGGAGGGAGAGGGGAGGAGGAAGACAAGGAGGGAGAGGGGAGGTGGGAAGACAAGGAGGGAGAGGGGAGGAGGAAGACAAGGAGGAGAGGGGAGAGGGAAGAGTTGGGGGGGAAGGAACAAAGACAAGGGCGCCCCTAGCCAGGAAGGAAGGAAGAGCTGAAACACAACAACCATAAAAACATTTTATCGAGCCGCAGCAGGACGTGAAATGGGGAAGAAAGTGGCGAGTTTGGAAAACGGGGGAAAGAACCCAAAGTGGAAAAAAAAACCCGGAGGGGAGGAGAGGGGACCAGGAAGGAAGTACGATGAGGGGGAAATTGAGAGAGTTAGGGGATTGAGTTAGGGATGAGATTATAGGCGAGAGTCGGAATATACACATTGATACATTTGTTTAAATTTCTTTATTGGCATTGTAACGAAAATTGTCTAATTTTAATAATTTTGTCAAGGCTAATTTGCAGTGAGGATGCTGCTCATATTAACCGAGTGAAGAGGTAGGTGTCAACAGATAATAATGAGTCAGCTGGTACTCACCTACCAGTACTCAACTAGTACTCACCTACCAGTACTCAGCTAGTACTCACCTACCAGTACTCAGCTGGTACTCAACTAGTACTCACCTACCAGTACTCAGCTAGTACTCATCTACCAGTACTCAGCTAGTACTCACCTACCAGTACTCAGCTGGTACTCACCTACCAGTACTCAGCTGACATTCACTCACCTACCAGTACTCAACTGGTACTCACCTACCAGTACCCAGCTGGTACTCACTCACTTACCAGTACTCAGCTGACATTCACTCACCTACCAGCACTCAGCTGGTACTCACCTACCAGTACTCAGCTGGTACTCACCTACCAGTACTCAACTGGTACTCACTCACCTACCAACCTAACCTAACCTAACCCAATAATGCCTAATTTCACCTGATCTGCCTTAAGGCAACCTGACCTAAACCCAAGATGAATATGCTACAATTCCTTGCATAAAACAGAGAGACAGTGCACAAAGCAGCATCCGGTAAAGATGCCAGAGGGGAGGTATGTGCCTCGTCTTGCCACTGGCACTCAATAGGTAGTGATTACACACTTAAGAAGTATATATGGCAAGGATTATCTGAAGACTTTTTTCTTTTATAACGCTTCTTGCCAAAGTTTTCAAGGATAAATTGCATACCTTTAACACCCCGAGCGCCAGCATAAAGTTCAACTTTCCCCCTTGAACCTCATGATAAATAATTTACTGCTGATTATTATAAAAGTAATAAATTATTATGGCTTTTATTGCTTCTTGCTGACGATATAATTAATATTTTCAGAACAAAATCTATCTTACACCCTCACTCCATCTCTCCCTCACACCCTCACTGTCTCTCTCTCCCTGAATAAGGCTTTCCCTCATCCCCTAAGCGTCCTAATTAAGCCCTTACCTCATACCCTCACTCCAACACCCCCCAATAATAAGGCCTTCCCTCACCCCCCCCCCCCATCCTCTGCAATATGGTATCTTCAAGCCAACAAGTTAGACAGGTTAAATATCCCGAGTGGAATCCACAGGGAAATAGCAGTTTGGTTATATAGACTACGTCTAGGTTACAGATGCAACTGGGAAATTAGTGAACCCAGAGATTGGGAAGGCATTTTAAGCCAAACACTCACAGAAAACATCTACTACACTATCTTCTGGAATGGGAAGCAACCAACGACCTTAGAAGAGATTTAAGAGTCCCTGAATCTTGCAGTGGCCACCCTGAAGCCATCAACACTGCCACTCTCCTGGTCAAAAAAGGTGTCCAGCAGCTGGACACCCTCATAAATACTGTCAAGCAGTATCCTCCCCCGCGATAGCAGCCACACAGTAAGGAGTGACTATTTAAATGCGACCTCAGCACACAGTATACATTCATCTAAAAAAAAAAATTACCACTTACAGGCTATTCATGCCCGTGCCACCTCTTGGGTGGCTTAATCTTCATCAATCAATCAATCTCACCCCAACACTCCCTCTCAGGAGCTCCTCCCCCCCCTAACCACCACAAACGCCTCATAACTCTGACAAACAACTTACTCCCCGTCAATTATATATTCAAGCATGCACTTTTTTCCGATAACAAATGCTCGTTTAATCCGGCAATATTGACTTTATCCTTCACCTGCAATAGGCACTTTTTCCGACATTAATTGGGTCGTTCTAAGCCACATAACGCTTAGTAATGGGTAATTAGTCGTAATTAGGTGACTAATAAACTCCAGACCCGGGCACAACCTCACAGATCACACGCGCACACCATCAGGTTTTTGTTTTCAACTGCAAATAATAATAATGAGAAAATCCGTAGAAACAGAGAAGAGGATTCGAAGGTTGCGGTTGGAATTCTCACCCATGGGTGGTATTCGAACCCATGGGTGGTATTCGAACCCATGGGTGGTATTCGCACCTCACAGGTTCGAATCCTTATGACAGCTACTACGAATTTTCTCACTGATACATACAGTGTTACATTACCAACTCGAAGGTAATTCCGTTTGTTGGAAAAAGGAATTCTGCGATGATTATCTGAGTATAACCCATAGATTAACGCCTGATCTTCCCCCTCGATGCAACAGCTGTCTGTCTAATTTCCGGGAACCGCTAGGTGAACAGAGGCATCATGTGAAAGAAAATGTGCGCAAACGTCTCGTTGTCCTGACGCAGGAATCAAACCCGGCGACGTTTCGCTTGTCTGAGTGGACTTTTCCAGCCACTGACCCCAAACGACCCGAAAGCTTAAATGTGGCGGCGATGCTACCCAGACGCCCTTCATGAACTGTTCATCATGAGTTATGTATGTGTTATCTTACGTTATTCATCTTTTATCTCGTTTTATTTATCTATTTCTGTACGTTACTGTTACTTTCCCGTCTCGTGCGTCTGTCAGTAGTTATCTGGAAACCTCGTGATTGGTTCCGAGCAATAAATGATGTTATCTGGTCTTTAATTTCTCCAAAATGGTTCAATAGACAGTAATAACTCTAAGGATGGGGGTGGGGGGGGGGAGGGTTATAGTTCCCTTCGTCAGTAAATTACTTGCAACCCTTCCCATGCCCATCTTTCATCCACCTCCCTGTAACTTATTGTCTTCCCTTCTTACGCCTGACTTACTTCCTCTGTCTGTCTGTCTGCTTCCCTTTCTCTTACTGATCAATCTTATTTCTCACTCCAATGCCTTTCAATTTTCCTCCGCCCTAATGTGTCTCATTCTCTCGTTTACTCTCGATACTGCTAGGGAGATATATATATATATATATATATATATATATATATATATATATATATATATATATATATATATATATATATATATATATATATATATATAATGAACCTATGATATACATAGGTCCATTATGTATACAGGTGTGGTATACATACCAACAATACAAGAATAACATAAGAATTCATGCTATACACATCAATACTGAAACGCCTGAGAACTGAACACCTATACACGTTTCAGTCCACAATCGTAAGTGATCTCTGACAGCAACACTGGCTAGGACACACCTGAAAATGCACACATGTGGGTTTTCCTGTCATTGATTACGCAATGGGGGAGAGGGGGACAGATGGGTCTCTTACTGTGTCAATCATGGAAGGACAAAACTTATCTTTCTGAAACATTACCAAGAGTCTGTCATTTTAAAAATGACTAAAAGCCTGTTATCTTAAAACATTACTAAGAGTGTCATCTTAAAACATTACTAAGAGGTTGTTATCTTTAAATAACATTTACCAAGCTCAAAATGTTTGATGTTTTATCAGATACTTAAAAAAAATTATGAAAAGATTAATTAATTTCGCCAGCGTGTCGTTGGCAATAATCAGATAATCGCCATATAATCCAATAATCGGGATAATAAACACTTGATCGTCTATAAGGCTGAGTGTATAACACGATTATCGCCTTAACTTATTTGTTGCATTTTCAAAAAACTAATAATAATAATAATTGCACAAACCATGCATACTTCAGCCCATCAGAAATTCACATGTTTGCGCGCCTACAAGCAGCAGAATATGTAATAATATCGCTATGCCATATGTAGATTTAAACACACATGAAATACACGCCTTTTGAAATATTTAACAGGTAATTTTCTTTATAATTATAGTGTATATATATATATATATATATATATATATATATATATATATATATATATATATATATATATATATATATATATATATATATATATATATATATATAATTCTATCTTCAGCTGTGTGGCAGGAAAGATTACTAACGGCGCCGACTACTAACTTAGTTAGATTACTAACTATGGGCGACTACCCGTATGCCGATAGTCGAGAGCGAGGGGGACAGTAGTGCTGTACTCTAAATAGTCAACGAGGGGAAAGTTGACTACTTTCTCTTCCAGCAGTTAGTGAGGGAAAAGCTTCCCAAACAGCTTCTACAGCCCACGCGGGAAGGCCCGACTTAAGATACTTATCAGTCAGTGTCTGCACCAAATAAGATAATTTTTCTAGTTCATGGGAATAGTAGCAGCGAGGGGGGGAAGAGGAGGAGGAGCAAGAGAAGGAAAGGGAATAAGAGGAGAGGGAGGAAAAGGGGAGGAAAGAAGAGTAGAAAGTAAACAGGGGAGGAAAACGAAAGACTAAAAAGGGAGAGGAGAATCTATAAATGGAGGAAAGGAAGCAAAGGCGAGAAGGGCGGAGGAAAGATGGAGAGGAGAAAGGTGAATTGGAAGATGATGTGGAACAGAAGCCAGAAGAGAAGGGGTAAATGGGCATGCGAGAGAAAAATTCCAAGGAGGAGGGAGAGAAGGGAGTGGAAGAGATGGGAGAGGAAGGAGACGAAGAGAGATAGGAGAAGGGGGAGACAGAGAGAGGGATAATAGGTAGATGAGAGAGTAGGAGGAGCAGCCAGCGCTACAGTCTTGTCCTATGAACACCAAACTTCTTTTAACTTTAAACTGGGAATTTACAGTGGCAATAAATATCCCCAAAATCTAATTTGCGCTTTCCACTTTCCCGCTTCTTCCCCTCTGTCGACCTTTCCCCTCTGTCGACCTTTCCCCTCTGTCGACCTTTCCCCTCTGTCGACCTTTCCCGTCTGTCGACCTTTCCCCTCTGTCGACCTTTCCCGTCTGTCGACCTTTCCTTTTCAGATGACCTTCCTCTACGCTGAACTGTTTCCTTCAAGGACAATATTATCGTTACTGTTCTGCTCAAGTCAATCACTTCAATATGTATAGTCATTATATCTTACTATAAGATCTTTTACAGTATTATAATAATAGAAGATCTTATAATAACGTTCATATATGATATGAATGTTTTTGGAGATTTATTGTCTTATATAAATAGATTTGTAGAGTTCTTTATATATACATATAAGAACTCAAAAGTAACCCGACCAGGATTCGAACCCACGAGTATATTAATAAACACCTCCCACACACGCATGTTACTGAGACAGTCTGTATACACAGGTAAACAGCCCAAACGGTCTATGGGACCTACGTACAATATCGTGTGTATGTTGTTGTTGTTGTTTAAGATTCGCTACTCGGAACAAAAAATTCCAGGCAGCACGGGCTATGGTGAGCCCGTGTGTATTAACCCTGAGCTGCTTTCGTTACACTGACAGAACGCGACCTCGGAGCGCCTGTGATATGAACGCCGCAGCGAACCCGATGGGAAAACACTAAAACAATTGCGTAGGTATATTCCAGGCAAGAAATATCTCCACGAAAATAAATATTAAGTCCCCCAAAATATTAAGAAAATCTATAATTCTTCTGATTTGTTATATGAAATTCCCGAATGCTTCGTTAAAAGTTGGATTTTTTACAATATGGACACTTTCCTACGGGTGAATTCCCGATAACAGCCGTCCAATAGCAAAAATATCTTGGCCGCAATTGTTAGCGAGAGTCTCGACTTTCTTTTATGTACTAAACTTTGTGCGGCCGGATTTTTTAATCTTATAGAATCTCATTAAAATACATACCTTCGGATGGATATATATTTTTGAATAATTCGGAATGTTCATCTTCTTTTTTTAATTAAAAAAAAATATTCAGGGGTTTTGTATAAGCAGTTTTTTTTAATGTAATCTGTGTTACCTACCTACCTTACCTACCTGTCATTTATTGACTTTCCTACCTACCTAATTTGACGAGCTCCGGACAGTTCCTCCCTGTCTTCACCTCCCCGTCTTCACCTCCCCGTCTTCACCTCCCCGTCTTCACCCGCCTGTCTTCACCCGCCTGTCTTCACCCGCCTGTCTTCACCCGCCTGTCTGCCCAACCTGCTTCATCAACTTCAGCCAGGATTAGCGCACCGACATGTCCGCCTGACGGGAAACTGCCAAACTTCCCCACCTGTCATTTCTCCATGCCTACCGACCCTAGATAACAAGAGCGATATTGAAACCTCTCTCACCCTGAACACACTCCCTCACCCCTAGACACCCTCACCCTGAACACACTCCCTCACCCTAGACTCCCTCACCCTGAACACACTCCCTCACCCTGAACACACTCCCTCACCCTAGACTCCCTCACCTGGTAGAGCAGTAACGAGGTATGTGTACCTCTACATGTAAGGCATCTGATCCCCCTTTGCTCCTTCCTCTCGCTTATTACCCTACATATTTCCTCGCTTCCCTTCCTCCTCCTCCTCCTCTCCCTCCGCTAATATTTCGCTCGTTCGCTGCTCTAGCAGCGAACAGCCTCGATCTGTCCATCCCGTTTTCTGCTTCTATCCTCACCCGTTTATCTTTCTTCCTCTCTCTCTCTGGATTGTTCTATCTCCTTTCAACGTCGTCAAATGCCTTCTATTCTCGGTCACTTTACGCTCACCGTTGCACGGTTCAGCCCTTGCACTCTTCTCACTGGTCCTAACACCTGTTTTTAGTTTCCACTTCCTAACAATACCTCGCTTTTTCTAAAAAAAATATATATAAAAACAAAGGGAAAAAAGACACATCCCCTCCATATTTTTTGGTATACAAATATTCAGTCGTATTTTCGTATGTTCACTTGTTCGAGACATTGTGAGAGGCAGCCAGTTACGAGGCTGCCTCTCACAATGCCTCTCACCACCACCACTATCATCACTACACACCGCTAATATTTTATCACTGACACGATTTTCAAGGGATAATACACGAATAGCATCTCTTACCACCCTTCCCGCTCTTTCTCTCTTTCTCTCTCTCTCTCTCTCTCTCTCTCTCTCTCTCTCTCTCTCTCTCTCTCTCTCTCTCTCTCTCTCTCTCTCTCTCTCTCTCTCTCTCTCTCTCTCTCTCATGTAGAGAAGCCTTCATTCCTCTACCATGCCCCGAGTCCCAACTAGACATCTCATTAAAAAAGTTATTTAAGATAAGCCTTTGTAAGTCCTAATTGCCGAGATATCACGAAAATGTGAACAGCCAGGATTCCCTTTCCTACCGTATTTAGACATTTCTTGCTGGCGAGGCCATCAGGAAGTAAGAGCCACACCCCCTCCCCTACCTTCCCCATCGGTCTCGCTTCATGCAGGTCAGCGTTCAATCCCCGATCATCCAAACTGGTTGGGCACCTTTCCTTCCCCCTCAATCCTATCCTAAATCCTTATCCTGATGCCTTCCAAGTGCTATATAGTCGGTATAACACAACGACTATACAGCATTATAGAGAAAGCTTAGCGCTTTATCCTGATAGTTCACCTATCCCTACTTGGAGAGCTGCGAAGGTAAGTAAGAAGATAAACCAAGTTTTGTTCCCTCACCTACTAGATAATAAGTCTTTTGCCTCCTGTATTTATGACCCAAACTCATAGGGTAGTCGACGTGTCCTTATCGTCCCTACTTGAACACGTAGGTAAGCAAGTCTGGTCTCGATTCTTAATCTTAAGATATCTTGGTAAGGTAGGGCCTTCTCCTACCGTCCTGACGTCTCCTCTGCCTCTGGTATCTGGATAGGTAAGGTAGATCTACCCTTCCTCCCTCACTGAGGCACCCTAGGTGGGGTGGAGGGGGGATGCGTAGCGACATCTCTACTTTAGTGCCCAGCTGGACCAAGTCATCAATACGTGTGTCTAGAGGTAACCTTGTCCTACACCACCACCACACTTCTCACAGTTACACCCCAGCCTCGCCCTACACCCCAGCCTCTTCCTACACCCCAGCCTCTTCCTACACCCCAGCCTCTCTCTACACCCCAGTCTTATCTAGAACACTAAAACCTGACTTGCAGTATCAGACCCTTACTGTAGCAGGAGCAGGTGGCACCCAGCACCCGTCGGTGTATCCGGCAACACGCGGGGTACTGGTGGTGGTGGTGGTGCTAGTGATGGTGGTGCCGGTGCTGCTGGTGGTGCTAGTGGTGGTGGTAGTTATGGCATCATCATAACAAGGTTGGCAACAAAGGTTGGCAACTGACACCATCCAGGAGCACCAGGCCGGGGGAGAGGACGTTTATAATCGCTCATTTCCACATGAATCATGTCTCCAAAAACACACAGATAGCGGCTTAGAGAGAACTCCTCAACAGCGCAGCTCCTCTATATATATGTCTGTGTGTGACAGCTGCCCGTAGAACAACCTACGCTGGGCGTAGATAAGATTCAATGACCTCAGTGACTCTAGGGGACACCCAAGATTACACACAGAGATCACACTAACGTGATGCATCAAATGAACAAATACACAAGGGCCGTAACGAGGATTCGAACCTGCGTCCGGGAGCATCCCAGACACTGCCTTAATCGACACCCAAGATGCTTCGGTCCCTTCTTCCTCTTTCCTCTTTCTTCCTCTTTCTCATGCTATAAAATGACGTTGCTCTTCCGATGAGTGAGATCTTTGTATTATCAATATCTTAAAACATATTCCTAATTTGCTTTGCCTATTTTGTCGTATTTGTGTTTGATTTTATTCTATTCGACGGCAATGGGCTCACAATTACAGCGTCAAGGCACGTTGTTACAAAATAATTTATAATCAATCAACGTAGCCGCCCACAGCTTATTCATACAAGTCTAGTTGTACTGTTCCGTCTGGCTTCCTGACACACGCGGAATGTTTTAAGGGCCGGTGACTGTTTCCAGATGACGCCAAACACAGCGAGATAAAGTTGATGAAGATGAGCAGATGAACAGCAAAAGGTTAACACAATGAGATATTGTGTTAACAACATTGTGTTATCATCGTGTTATCGAAATATTAACACAATGAGAAATATCATCACAGTGGTAAGCACAGTTGCAAAGTATCGTGCAGGCAGACATTTAGCATTTGCAACATCTTACTTAATAATAATGAAAATATAAAAAAAAAATATTTTGATATTATTTTGATTACAAAATTTATAATTATACACCTTTACCATTTAATTTAATATAACATTATTTCGTCACATTCTACTCTTTTTACTCCCCACCATTGCAGGCGGTGTGCGCAGTTATTCCATGTTGTTAGTGTTGCACACATTCTTTGAACTGCTCTTAAATATTACAGTTATTGTCATGCAAGGTGGGAAGAGCAGCTGCAACATGTTTATGGTTGCAATACGTAATAATGACGGCACAGGGTGACTCTGGTCTTGGCAACACTCCCCCACTCTTCCTATTTGCATATATATGTTTTTGTCAATGTTTGCAAATGAATGTGATTTGATTGTTTTAAATTGCTGATATGTGTGTGTGTGTGTGTGTGTGTGTGTGTGTGTGTGTGTGTGTGTGTGTGTGTGTGTGTGTGTGTATGTGTGTGTGTGTGTGTGTGTGTGTATGTGTGTGTGTATGTGTGTGTGTGTGTGTGTGTGTGTGTGTGTGTGTGTGTGTATGTATGTATGTGTGTGTGTGTGTGTGTACTTACCTAATTGTGCTTGCGGGGGTTGAGCTCTGGCTCTTTGGTCCCGCCTCTCAACCGTCAATCAACTGGTGTACAGATTCCTGAGCCTATTGGGCTCTATCATATCTACATTTGAAACTGTGTATGGAGTCAGCCTCCACCACATCACTTCCTAATGCATTCCATTTGCTAACTACTCTGACACTGAAAAAGTTCTTTCTAACGTCTCTGTGGCTCATTTGGGTACTCAGCTTCCACCTGTGTCCCCTTGTTCGCGTCCCACCAGTGTTGAAAAGTTCGTCCTTGTTTACCCGGTCGATTCCCCTGAGGATTTTGTAGGTTGTGATCATGTCCCCCCTTACTCTTCTGTCTTCCAGTGTCGTGAGGTGCATTTCCCGCAGCCTTTCCTCATAACTCATGCCTCTTAGTTCTGGGACTAGTCTAGTAGCATACCTTTGGACTTTTTCCAGCTTCGTCTTGTGCTTGACAAGGTACGGGCTCCATGCTGGGGCCGCATACTCCAGGATTGGTCTTACATATGTGGTGTACAAGATTCTGAATGATTCCTTACACAGGTTCCTGAACGCCGTGTGTGTGTGTGTGTGTGTGTGTGTGTGTGTGTGTGTATGTGTGTGTGTGTGTGTGTGTGTGTGTGTATGTGTGTGTGTGTGTGTGTGTGTATGTGTGTGTGTGTGTGTGTGTGTGTGTGTGTGTGTGTGTGTGTGTGTGTGTGTGTGTGTGTGTGTGTGTGTGTGTGTGTGTGTGTGTGTGTGTGTGTGTGTGTGTGTGTGTGCGTATGTGTATGTGTGTGTGTGTGTGTGTGTGTGTGTGTGTGTGTGTGTGTGTGTGTGTGTTTGTAAATAGGATAATGCCCTCCCAATCATTTTATTTTATTTTTAATATGTGGAATAATTCTAAATAATTTGTTTGTATTGCTTTGTGATTCATTATTTAATGATCTCATGTGTGTTTTTTTTATAATGCTTTAAGCGGTTTCTAAACTTTATGATATGAGATTTTTTGGTTGTGTGTTTGTTCCTTTAGCACACTGCTATTGTTGAGATACTTGCTGCTGTGACTTTTATGGCTCAGAGGTAAAACACATGAGTCTAATACAACAACAACAACAATGAACCAAGTGGTGCAACAAATACATCGTCGTGCTTGAAATTGAAATTGAAATTGAAATAAGTTTATTGAGGTAAAATACACACAAAGGGATGAGGTAGCTCAAGGTATTCTCACCCCGTTCAGTACAACGTGTTAGTACATACATAGACACACATCACAAACAATAAACCTGTTACCAAACATTCTGAGAGATAAACATGTACATTTCCTCCTTCACAAGTAGTGGCTTGCTCTTACTGTCTTTTGCCGCCTTTAATGGTGTGATAGACGCTGCTACCAGTTCTAGTGGAGTCCCAAATAGACACCTTTTGGAGGATCATACGACTCAAAAGGTCAAATTTCTGCCTGTCCTCATAAACAAAGGCCATTCCATGCACCCGCCAAACCCGCTGTTTATGAATGAAAAACAGTTTACACACGACTCAATTTAATGTGGTTTTGAATAAAACACCGAAATTTGGACGCTCTGGCCAAGAGGTTCAAATAACAGTGCACTAAGCGTGAGAAAAGTCTGTTCTCAACGTGTTGTGCATCCAAGCCTCTGAACCCTTCTCTCCCTAAACCCGCCCCTGGCACACGCTAGACACTCTCTTAAGAACCCTATTTGGTCACTCTGGCTTGTATAAAGTCCCCTTTCACCTCACACTCGCCCGAAGCTAAATGGAGCATTAGAGAGGAGAGGACAACAGACTCAGCCCTCTCACCCTCCTCCAACGAGTAGCGTCTGCTGAGAGAGAGAGAGAGAGAGAGAGAGAGAGAGAGAGAGAGAGAGAGAGAGAGAGAGAGAGAGAGAGAGAGGGAGAGGGAGAGGGAGAGGGAGAGGGAGAGGGAGATGGAGAGAGAGAGAGAGAGAGAGAGAGAGAGAGAGAGAGAGAGAGAGAGAGAGAGAGAGAGAGAGAGAGAGAGAGAGAGAGAGAATTGCCCCTACATGTGCCTGTGTCTCCTCTCCATCCCATCTTACGACATCTTTCCAGAAAACAACTTAAGTGGACGAGGATTGTTTCTCCAGGGGTGCGCTTCCGGTAGCGGTGTGAAGACCTCGTTAGTTAAGTGTGATTATCCCACTGATGTCTATCCCCCCTTTCTTTCCCCCTAACCTTCCCCCCCCCTCTCTCTCTCTCTCTCTGTCTCTCTCATCACGAACCTCTTTCTTGCCCTCTTATTTTCACCTTGTTGTGCTTTTATTCAAGAAGCAGTTACGCAAGCACTTGCGAACGTGTCCATCTTTTCTCAATCTTTGGCGGCTTTGTTTACAATTATTAAACAGTTAATGAGCTCCGAAGCACCTGGAGGCTGTTTATAACAATAACAACAGTTGATTGGAAAGTTTTCATGCTGGTAAACTGTTTAATAAATGTAACCAAAGCCGTCAAAGATTGAGGAAAGATGTACACGTTCGTATGTACTTGCGTAACTGTTTCGTGAATCTGGATCCTGGAGCCTCGCCCACACCTGGGAGAACTATCTACAGAGATAAGAGACACAGGTTTTCTTCCTGTTGGAGGAGGTGTTGTACGTGCTGCTATGGCGGTGTGTCCGCTCACAGGCTGAGTGGCGCTGCCCAATAAACTCGCTCCTTGTTGCAGAAAAATAAAAAATAAAAATGTTATCTACCTAGTCAACCTGTATCTATCAGCAAAGACAGGCGGGACGAGGAGAAGGGGTTAATGTGTGCCAGGGAAGGAGACGGACGCGATGGCTTTATAAGGGTTCAGAAGCGATTGGGTTACTAGAAAAACTGGTGGGATCGATACTTGATAAAACAGCTCAGAAAGCTGGTGGGATCGATTCATAAAGAGCACTTTGAAGCCACTGGGTGTCGCTGGGCACTAGAGGGAAAATGGGTGTCAAAATGTCGAAAGCTTTTGATCCTGATTGGCTACCACCCACGTGCTGCGGGGAAGCGCTGCTCTGGCGGTGGTTCAGGGCGATAAGAAAGTGGGTGGAGGCCGCTGGAAGACACTGGGCGCCTCCAGAGAGTGGTCGGGGGGAAATCTTTGGAAAGAGTCAATATTTACGGAGCAATGAGGGGGTGTGTGTACGGGGGAGGGATCTTAGGAGGCTGAGAGACGGGGTACTTAAGGGTGTTAAGAAAGCTGTTTTGAAAGGGGTGATGAGGGGTGAAAGGGGAGGAAGAGAAGGGTAAATAGAGGACACTAATATCCGGGCGGCACTGTGGCTCCTGTGAGTTCCCCCCTGGCCCTGTGCCACACACGAATGCCCCAGCGTCGTCTTGAGTGAATGCCACTTCTCCGTGGAGTCGACCAACAGGCGTACGCGATCACAAGCTTATCAACTTATCGTCCAAGTAATTCACTTTCCCATTTACAGCATGAGTGGTCGTTTCACTGATGGTGCTCCCATTGTCCATAATCATAAAAGTTTTAGTTGTCAATAACCACGATCCTACTCAACTTGGAGGACGCCACGAAGTATGGTCCCGCCATCCTACAGGGAAGCCCCAACTACGAGTAGAAGGGGGATAGAAATAGCCTAAGCTACTCTATCCCTTTGAGATGTATTCTTATCTCGATAAACGTACTTGAACTTAAACATAAAGACGGAAGAATAGGCCTGCGGAGATGGGTGAATTGGCAGACAGGAGGACAAACGGATACGGATGAATGGATCACCAAACGAATTCAAACTGGATGATAGGGCAGATAAAGACGGATTGAGACGGACGAATGGACGGACAACTCCACATCAAAATCGACTGTATACTACAACAAGGACTGACTACTGTACTATAATAACAAACACGAAATCTGGTATACCTAGAGTGTACCAAGGAAAGCCCCAGGAGTTCTTCTCCCCCAAACCCGGCCTGAGGGGAGGGCCAGGCTGGACTTGCGACAACTTGGTCCAACAGGTTGTTGCTTGCAACGGCCCGCAGGCCCACATCTCCACTACAACCCGGTTGGTCCGGGACCTCTTACACGAGAATTATTTTTTTTTTCTTGAAGTCCACTTTCGTTCCAGCAATATTTCTTACAATTCCTGGGAGGGTATCGAGTACTTGTGGACCTCTGATGTTCATACAGTGTTCTCTGCTTGTAATCTTGTCGCCTTTACTCCTAACAGGTTGTATTCTCCATTTCCTGCCCTCAACCCTAGTGAGCCAATAAGCCATCAACCCTATAGAGCCACTAATCTATCCCCACCAATAACCCATCAGTCCTACAGAGCGACTAAGCCATCAACCGCACCGAACCAATGAGCCGGCCAAGTCATATAACCCACCAGCGCCAACACGGTCAGGACGGAGTGATGCGGTAAGTGGTCTTTGTGGGCGTCCAGCGGGCGTCCGGTGGGCGTCCAGTGGGCGTCCAGCGGGCGTCAGTGGGCGTCCAGTGGGCGTCCAGCGGGCGTCAGTGGGCTTCCAGCGGGCGTCCAGCGGGCGTCCAGTGGGCTTCCAGCGGGCGTCCAGTGGGCGTCCAGCGGGCGTCCAGCGGGCGTCCAGTGGGCTTCCAGCGGGCGTCCAGCGGGCGTCCAGTGGGCGTCCAGTGGGCTTCCAGTGGGCCTCCAGTGGCCTTCCAGTGGCCTTCCAGTGGGCGTCCAGTGGGCGTCCAGCGAGCCACACCGGCTGTCCCGTGTATCTCGTCCCTCGCCCTAATTCTATTCACTAGAGTCAAACGACAGTTTCAGTTGAGGTGGACGATAGAGAGCTGGAAGAGGGGGTGGATACGGGACAGAAAAAGGAAGGAGGGTAGAACAGAGGAGGACTAGCGAACTAGGGGGAAGGGAGCAATAGATCACGAGGGGGGGGGAGGGGAATACAGACTTCTTTCTGGTTTCAGAGATTCCGTAAACATTTCAGTCGAGTTAAGTATATTTGGAAGAGAAGCGGAGATTTGGCACCATGATGTCTGCTTCTGGATAGCTTCCATTAATATTTGTCACTTGCCTTTGTGTGTGTGTATATGTGTATATATATATATATATATATATATATATATATATATATATATATATATATATATTTATATATATATATATATATATATATATATATATATATATATATATATATATATGTCGTACCTAGTAGCCAGAACTCACTTCTCAGCCTACTATGCAAGGCCCGATTTGCCTAATAAGCCTAGTTTTCATGAATTAATGTTTTTTCGACTACCTAACCTACCTAACCTAACCTAACCTAACGTTTTCGGCTACCTAACCTAACCTAACCTATAAAGATAGGTTAGGTTAGGTTAGGTAGGGTTGGTTAGGTTCGGTCATATATCTATGTTAACTTTAACTCCAATAAAAAAAAAATTGACCTCATACATAATGAAATAGGTAGCTTTATCATTTCATAAGAAAAAAATTAGAGAAAATATATTAATTCAGTAAAACTTGGCTTATTAGGCAAATCGGGCCTTGCATAGTAGGCTGAGAAGTGAGTTCTGGCTACTAGGTACGACATATATATATATATATATATATATATATATATATATATATATATATATATATATGTCGTACCTAATAGCCAGAACGCACTTCTCAGCCTACTATTCAAGGCCCGATTTGCCTAATAAGCCAAGTTTTCATGAATTAATGTTTTTCGTCTACCTAACCTACCTAACCTAACCTAACCTAGCTTTTTTTGGCTACCTAACCTAACCTTACCTATAAATATAGGTTAGGTTAGGTTAGGTAGGGTTGGTTAGGTTCGGTCATATATCTACGTTAATTTTAACTCCAATAAAAAAAAATTGACCTCATACATAGAGAAAAGGGTTGCTTTATCATTCATAAGAAAAAAATTATAGTAAATATATTAATTCAGGAAAACTTGGCTTATTAGGCAAATCGGGCCTTGAATAGTAGGCTGAGAAGTGAGTTCTGGCAACTAGGTACGACATATATATATATATATATATATATATATATATATCAAACAGAAACACCCACTTTATTAAAACGAGATAAAGTGAACTTATCACCTCGACACTCAATCTTAACTTGTCTTACATAAATATCAAAACTTAAAGAAAAAGGTCATCTTTTACTATCTATACAAATTCACAAACAACTTAAGCTATGGTACACAACACGTTTGAGAATAAGATATTGCCTTAAGAGAGAGAAGAAAAAAAAGTGGGGGGGGGGCGGGCTTTGCATCTCGTTTTCTGATATGAGAATCTTGCAAGGCACACTACGGCACAATCATTTCCCAGGGGGGCAAGAGTACGACCCTTTCCCCTCCCTGCCCTCACTCCCTCCAAGATTTTCATCAAGGTCCCTAGCCCAAGACACTACCTCCAAGCCTCCCCCTCCCCTCTCACCTTCCTCCATGCCTCCGCCCTCCTCGTCTTTCTCCAAACTCTCCAAATATATCCTCGGCAGTCAATCACACGCTAATAAGAACTCTCTGTACCTCCTTCAGTTACAGCTGCTGGCCCTCGAAGTAACATCTCGACCTTCCAAGTATTCTCAGATATTCTCCACTCC